CTCCACCACCTGGAATGCGTCGCTTTCTTTTTTCAATGCAAAGCCGCAGTGAAATTTGCGAAGAGAGTCTTTGAAAAGCTTCGCAACTGTTCCAAGCTGCGAGGATTGATTCTTCGTGTATGGGATGATCTTCAGCTGCAAGCACTTGACCCATTGCAGCAAAATTTGGAGTTTGCTGCATTTACGGGTACCAATTGTTGCAGTGCAATGGCTGCGCTAAATTTCATCCAACGGAGTCAAAATTCGTTGAAGGATCTTTGGATCCAAACGGATCACACGAAGGTGAGAGTTAGAGGATAAAACGCTTCATGTGCATTCTGTACAGTATTTTGGATTGAAGGAAATTGTGTCCCAATTCAAGGGAAATTCGAATCGTTGTTTCCTGGCCATGATGAAATTTCAACGATAAACCTTAATAATTCGTGGATTTCCTAATAAGCTGTGATATTGAATTTAGATTGATTTTGAAGAAGTAGGGTTAATGTTCAATCATTTCAAGTTATCGAAAATTAATAAATTTTTCTTGACTACGAAAGGGAAAATTTACCTTTCTTGGAAAAAAAAGTGTTCCTCAAAATTTTCTCTGTCCTGTATGGGTCTTTCTTCAAACGGGATTCCAACACGAGAAATGTCATTTTCTTCATTACGAATTTCACGCAGGATCTGGAAAAACTGCTCCCAGCCTTGAGTGCTTTCAAGCGACTGAGGAACGTCGTGTTTGTGCTGAAAACCTCATTTGTCAGAGGTAGAATTGGCTTGCTTGAACAAAGTTGGTTCCAGATCGCATTGAAGAAATGGGTTGATCCGAAAGGCGCTTTGAAGCAAGCGACGCTGTTTCTTCCGTCATCAGTGAATGCGGGATCTGAATACTCATTCTACACCTACAACACGGCGATAATGAAACAGGCTGATTTTTCGTTGGCATTCGTTACCCGATTTTACTCTGAGTGGCTAAAATTCATACCTGACAAGGAAGAACTCGGTCAGCTTTCGATATTCGAAGTTATTGACGTCATTTGTACTGGTCTTCGAGTCCAAGCGTTCTTGGAATGGCTTTTTTAAAAATTTTGGTAATACTGTACCGCATTCCCATGTTGAATATTTCGTCTGCAAAGAAAAAATCGTGAGAAACTATGTTGGTCGTTGTTTACCTGTACGTATTTGCAACGTCTCGTGAAAAATATTTTCGATCAGCTAATGAAAGAAATCGGGATAACATTGTTTGAAAATTACAGTGGGTTCCAAGCATTCTGAAAACTCATCTTCCGGACTTGCAGAAATTCGAAGATCTCGACTTGTGGAAAATTTTCAAAATGCACTGTTCGTTGAAAAATCCTGACAAATGATGGGACTTACATAAATTGGCTAAGTTTAGATACAGCATTGAAAGATTATTTCAAAGTACAGCTTAGTTAATTATCCTTGCTCTGGTATTCAAAATTTTTGAATCTGAAGTACTTCGTGAAACGTTTTTGTAGACTTTTTCATTTCGAAATGTATTCCGCAAAAATGTACATTTTATCATTTGGTTTTATAAGTTTTTCATTTCCATTGTTTATTACGTTATAGAAATTTTTTGAGTTTTTCAAGAGACCTCCCACTGTTTTCAAAATCTGAACATCCCAACTTTCTGATTTACTTCAGGCGTCAAACACGATTCCTCTCCTTATGCTCCGCAATATTTAATCGATGTACTAAATAAAGAGCTCTTCGGTGTGTGTTGCAGTTGTGTTGACTTACCTTAAAATCGTGAAATGCCTCAGGAGTTGATTCAAAGCGAGATACCGCTGCATAGATCCCATAAATCGTGTGTTTTGCGTCTCTCTGTGTGCCGAACCATTATCCGGAGTA